TGGCTGCGTGTCTGCATGGCATGGTTTGCATCAAGGAAAGGGGCCAAGCTGGAAACATCTGCCTGTTGAGTCTCTCTGAATTCTGCTGAAGAATTCTGTCATGAAAGCTGCCACCTAAAATTGCTTTTCACTCCTGCAAAAAGAGGATGGAAGGTGTCTTTTAGAAACCAACACCTTGAGAAATCTGTATCCACTTTGCAATGGCCTGGAATGGGGTCCTGGGACACAGACAGTGCCACAGAGGTCTGCATATCATGGTGGTCAGCAAATGAGATATCAGGGCCATGCCTCCTGTCCCGAGAATGAAAATAACTTAGAAAGAATAGGATTAAGGGTTCCTGACCTGGCTGTCTGAGTGTGTGGGTCTGGTGATTGCTCAGAGGATGGAGATCTTGATATGCTCCTGGTTGAATATGTCTATGCCGTATTCACATTACACTGAGCAAAGCGCATCCTGTGGGGTTTTCTCAGGCTGAAGAAGCTGTTCTCCAGCCTGCAGCATAATGAGGCAGAACTGAGCCTGGTCTGGAGTAACCCCGGGCATTGCTATGAGCTGAGGACTGACTGCCGTGGTGCTGCTCTGCTGAGATTCACCATGTCAGCAGCATGCAATGAAGGTCGTGTGTACAGGGCTGTGCTAGCAAGGGCACAGCCAGCAGCTTGCGGTGAGAGAGTGTTCCTCTCTGTCTAGGGCTTGTGAGACCACATGTCTGGTACTGGGCTTCCAAGTACAAGAAAGAAATATAGAAACTGAAGCTTGTCATGGGATTACATGTGCAGCACGTCTTTCCCTTTGTGACAGCCTTCAACTCGATGCACCGGGAGAAAATGGGAAGCTGCTGCTGTGCCCTCAGCCTGCTCTGAGCCCACGCACAAGAACTGTCTCATCTCTGTTAGCACCGGGGTCTGGGCAAGGCGACAACACCCCTTCTTGGCACTGCCACCACACAATGATGTTCTCGGTGAGGCCGCCTTCTACAATTTTGTGAAAGGCCCACAAGGGTCAGACCTGCTCTGCCCTACATCTTTCCATCTTGCAAAGTTCCAGTGCCCTCCTTCCCCCAGGGTCTGCACTCCAGCATATCCCAGAGCAGGACAGTCTGCCTCACCACCCCTTCCCCTTCCTGACATCCCTTCCCATTCTCCTGCTTTCTGATCTTGACTCTGAGGTTGACAGATGAGCGCAGGATCTGCTTGCTTTCTCCTTCACCTCCAGCGCTATGAGAACCATATCAGAATATGCCTTTCTCCTCCGGGTCATCCCTGTGCTTCCTGCTCATCTCCTGCAGATCCTTACAGTGAGGAGAGAGCCCTCACCAAGGATCTGCTTCCCGGTTTCCGCCAAGCCTGAGAGAATGGGGCGCAGAGCACCAAAGCAAAGCAAGACTGCAGCACGGAACAGCCCAGCTCACTGTGAACTTTAGGAAAAGCTCATGCTTGACTAAGCAGCAGGATTCTTCTCCAAGCCTTCCTGTGTTGCAGCAGCCAAGCGGTTACACAAAACCGAAGTGGGAGTCTTTCCAGTTCCTAACGCAGGGAAGAAAATTAAAAATAAATCATTTCCCACCAGCCATTCAGCCTCAACAAAAGCTGTGAGACTTCCAGAGCCAGTTCCTGAAAGAGCTGCTGTGTGGTTTCCAACCCCTCACACAATCAGGGAAAACTGCTGCATCTTGCCCAGCCTCTTTGGGACTGGTGCTTTCCTGCAGTAGATGCCAGCCTGGCTTCGCTGGCCCCACTGCAAATCCCACCATTATCCCAAAGTAAGTGGCAGGACATTTCTCCTCTCCTTCCCCCCATAACTGGCCCTGCCCTGTCTCCTCGTGGTCCAGGGACTGTGCAGGACCCTGGGGGCAGAGCGGGGCTGGAGCAGGGAGTCGGTGGCTGTCCTGCACTGGGCACATGACAGTGGTGGGCTGGTGTTTCCAGGTTTATGATAAACGAAGCTGATAGCCGTTGGCTTACTTAGATCTGTCCTGCAAGAAGTGGCAGCATCAGAGGGCTGCAGGGAATCCACAGTTGCTTCTGCATCTCTCCCATCTTGCGTTGGAAGCACCAAACCCCAGCACTAGGGGAAGGGCTATGGTTAGCACTGGATCATGGATGCCTTGGCTTTCCTTAGCCTTTCTTACAGCAGTAATAGCCTCTTTCCAGCATGAATACATGTTCTTCTGCTTATGTGGGCCTTACAGAGCTGGCCTGGTCCAAATCATGAAACTGCAGCTTGACAACTGTCTGTAATTCAGCAGGGCCACAGTAGCCATCAGTGTGAACAGTCCTGGCTGGGACATATGCCAGGTCATTCCCTTCACTTGCTAGATCATTCACTTTTCTTGCCAGACCCGTTTTTCGTATGCTAAGCCATGTTACATTTGTGGGAAGCTGGGAGCAGCTGAGATGCAAGGGATGCCCACCCTACCCACAGGACCAAAGGAAGCAGCAGTCACTTGAGAGGATGCCTGAGCCTGCATAAAGGGCAAGACTTATGGTTGTGTGAAAATCCACTGGTGAGTACACAGTTACAGCCTTTCAGCCCTTATCTGTGCTGGAGTGCTTTGCAAAGCAGGGACAGGGGGAATATCAGCCTGCAGTACAATTCAGCCTCCTGTCTGCCAGGCTATACTGCTTTGGGGCAATGGAAAGGAGCCCCAGAGGGGGATCTCTGAATACCAGCTGCCCCCTGCCCCTTCCCCCAGTTCTGTAGTGTGTCCTCTCCCAGTGGCCTGGCTGAAGCTGTGGCTTCTTTGGGCCAGAGACTGAGCAGCACTTTGGTGCTTTCTCAGAGCTATTAGGAGGGCATTGAGAATCCATCTTTGGACTCTGTCCAGCATTGGTAACCTTCCAGCTATTTGCTGGAAGCAGATCTGGACAGTTGCAACCAGCTGTTCCACCCTTGTTTGTCTTCCTTTAAGTCCAGGTTGTGGCATCACAGCCTGTCTGCTCTTCCCTTTGCCCATGTACCTCCCCCCCACAGCTGGGCAAGGTAACAGTTCACAGATCAGACCTACCACATATGTGGTTGTGGGGTTGTAGAGTGGAAGAGACCCTCTGCAGCTAATGTGGAACAAGCTGGCTGGACTGCATGATGGAGTGTGGCAGGAGTCAGCTGCATGACTTCAGTACAAGGCATCACCAGGAGCAGATGGGAACAGAGCCATGGCCCATTACAACCCAACCTCACAGTTCCTCTGGAGCTTCTGGGAACCCTCAGCCACCCATAACCTGGGTGTGCTTCAGGTGACTGTCACCGCAAGCGTAAATCAAGTAGCTAATGTCTTGTTGGGCAATTTGTCATGGGCTGATGGACACTCAGCTTGCCTGCAGACTTCAGGTGCACATGACAGCTGCCGTCCATGTGTGTGCAATGGAGTATGGATCCAACAGGAGACATACAAATCTCAAGGGGATCAGGAAGTTGTGAGAGGCAGTTGGTTGAAGTTAGGGGGGATGGATGGGACATCACACTAAGGTTTGCCAACATGTCTTACTCAGGCCTAACCGCATTTAGCTTCCTGTGTTCTGGTTGCATGCAGCTGTGCCAAGCTTTAGCTATTGGATTGGAATTCAGCTTGGGTGGTGTCTGGTTCCTACTGGAGTTTTTGGATGGATGTCAAGGAGGTGGGGAATTTTTGCCCAAACCCTTTAGCTGGTTTTAAAAAACGGGACTTGAAAAAGCCACATTATTCATCTCACATTAAGAAAAAAGCCAGCAAAGCTTTGCTGGAAAGCTTTCTCCAAAGATTTGAGCACTGGTTCTGTGTTACATGTCTGTATTATGCCTTCACTATGGGAAAGTCAAAATTTGGCCCATGTTAGGTTTTCAGTATCACTGGAGATTACAGTGTGGTCATGCTTAGGAGAATCTTGATAGTTTTGAAGGCAAATTCCTTGACTATGCTGCATTGGCTTGGTCCTGCTGTTGGTGCATGGGAAGACCAAGTGCCTGGGACTGATTTTTCTGTCCTGGATTTGGTGGGACAGAGATTTTCAGGTCTGTCTTCTTCATTTGGGATGGCAGAAGAACAAGATAGAGGAGACTTGTCCCACATGTGTGAAGCCGAGGACTGTCCTAGGGGCTTGTTTTGACCTCCCTTGGGAGAGCTCAGTTCCTGCAAGTGGGATTTTGGGCCAAAGGAGGCTGATGTACTGGTATCCCAGGAAGTCTAGGCTGGCCTTTCTCTTGTCAGGGAGAGGCAGATTGGCTGAGAGAGAGGCTGAAGACCCTCAAAGGTGTAAACAAATCTCTCCACAGGGACTTGACACAGATGTCTGCTGCCAAACGCCTCCATGGGTTCTTTCCAGCCATTGGAAAGCAGGTGGCACATCTAGCACCTGGTCCACCTGAGGTAGACCTTGAACACTGCACAGACAATGGGGCCCTGTCTGTCTGTCTGTCTCCATCAACTCACTCCATCAAGGGAGTCAGCAAGCCTGGCCTGCTACAACTGTCTGTGGATGACACACCATCTGTGGTGACCAGATATGCTCCTCCAGCCTGGGGTCACCTCATGGAGAGGCATCACTGTCCCTGCCAGTCTGCATTGTACAAGACACTCTGCAAGGGAAATGTTGCTACATCAATGATTTGTTTACAATAGCTCAAAGACCCCTAACTCGGCTCTTGTTTTGTTGGTGGGGCTGAGGAGGACTGTTGGGGGGGATCCATCTGTATCACAGGTGTCTTCCTCTATGGATCTGGTGAGTGAAATTGGACATTGAGTGGGCTCATCATCAAGCTTCTCCTGAAACCTGCAACCGCAACCACATAGTCCCTTTTCTTTGCTTTAATTGGTCAGGGAGGACTTCATAAAGAAAGAAGTGTGAAGCCCTTTCTAAGGATCACGTCTGCACTCGGCTGTTGCACTGCCATGGCTGAAAGCCAGGGAGGACCAGCGTGTGCAGAGGGAACAGCCCGATATGGAGCAGCGACAGGGTAGCAGGAGATCAGTAGGGTTCTCCTCTCTGGCCTGGGTCTCACTTTCTCTGATCCCTTGTTACAGGCAGGGATCGCGCAAGGATCGGAAGCGCCTGGCTGTGCCTAGTGCAATAGGTGTGGTGATGCTGCGCACTCCGTGACAGTGAGGGATACACTCGGATGCACGTGGAGAAGAGGTAAAACTGCCGGCGTTGCCTCGAGTGACCTGCCCCATCTCATGACTGTGGCATGTTGTAACCCTTGAGGAGGACTTCTCCCCATCCCCATCCCATGCAGGGCTCCGCACTCCCCAGCCCACTGTCTCTCCCAGCTGTGGGGAGCAGGACACAGAACAGGCCAGATCCTGGGTCCCAGAATTGCCTGGGCTGTGGGACTGGAGCAACGTCAGCTGAGGATTGGGGTTCCCCTTGGCATCTGTCCTGCTCAGCCAGCAACTCTGCACATACACATGTGGATCTGCCTGTACCCAGAGGTTGAATCCCACCTCTCCCTTGCTCCTTGCCCAGGTGCAGAGGATTCAACAGCAGGTGAGGAGGCTGCTGACATCTCCACAGGGTGAGGGGATGTAAGAACAGAGACAGCTGTAGCCCAGCACCTCTTATCACCAAGAACTAATAGAGCCCTGCACTGGCCAAGCAGTTAGTGGTCTTACTGCTAATGAGATGCAGCTCAGCAAGTCAGAGCACCCAGAGCCCATTGCTGACATCTGGGCACCCTCATGTTTTCTCAGAAGTGATGTATAATCCCTGGTTTACAGAGAGGGAAGCTGAGGCAGGGAGTTTAAAATGATCTGCTTGAGATGTGAGTTAGGAACACAATTAGGGGGAGAACCCGGGGGTCCCATCTGCCTGCTGTAATTGATTAACCATGCTGCCTGCACAGTTGAAGACAGACACTGCTTTAAAACAAAATCAGCTGTTACCATGGCTCGACCTGAGCACATACATAAACTCTTGCTTCCCAAAGCGATAATTTCTGGTGGCACTTGATTGCAGCTGCAGGGGTTATAATGGAGAAAAGCTTGCAAGGCACTGTGGGGTTACAGCCCGTGGCTAAGGATGGTGCTTGTAAGACTTGGAAACTGCATCAATGGGCATGTTCACCAGTAAGGTGCCTTTTTATCAAAAAAAGACTTGTTTCATTTGGTGCAATACAGCATCCTTCCCTTGCCCTACAGGGCATATGGCAGAGAATGGACTGAGAGCAGCCCTGAGGAGAGGAAGCTCAGCATGACCTGACAATGTGTGCTGGCAGCCCAGAAAGCCACCCGTACCCTGGGTTGCATCCAGAGCAGTGTGGGCAGCAGGGTGAGGGAGGGGATTCTCCCCCTCTGCTCTGCTCTAGTAAGACCCCTCTGCAGTGCTGGGTCCAGCTCTGGGGCACCAGCATCCGAAGGATACGGACCTGCCTGGGTGGGGCCAGAGGAGGCCACGAAGATGATAAAGGGACTGGAGCACCTCCCCGGTGAAGACAGGCTGAGAGAGTTGGGGGGTTCAGGCTGTTGCTCATCTTGGAGAAGAGAGGGCTCTGAGTAGCAGCTTTCCAGTACCTAAAGGGAGTCAACAAGAAAGCTAGAGAGAGACTTTTTACAAGGGCATGTATAATAGGACTAGGGGTAAAGGCTTAAAAAACTGACAGAGGGCAGATTTAGATTGGATCTAAGGAAGAAATTCTTCCCTGTGAGGGGGGTGAGGCCCTGGCACAGGTTGCCCAGAGAAGCTGTGGCTGCCCCCTCCCTGGAAGGGTTCAAGGCCAGGCTGGATGGAGCTTTGGGCAACCTGGGCTAGTGGAAGGTGTCCCTGCCCAGTGCAGGGGGGTTGGAACTAGATGATCTTTAAGGTCCCTTGCAACCCAAACCATCCTGTGGTCCTATGATTCTATATTCAATAAGGACACTTTTGCCAGTGTCTTAGCTGGCAACTTATGACACCCTTCAGCAGTACTTGTGTGTCAAGAAAAGAGTTACTCTGGCAGGCAGGAAGCTCTGCAGAAATGCAAAGTTAGCATGGATAATTACACAGGATGGCACATCACAGCCACTTAGAAGTGTTAAAAAACAATAAATCACACCTATCTGCTGTTTCCTCCATCTCTCCTATTTCTGGTGGGCAGGGAAACTTAGGAACAGTACCCCAGCAGCCAGCCTGGGAAAAGCAACTGTGCCACATTCCTGTCCCCAGCCCTGGTCAGCTGCCTGGCACAGCTGGGGCACCAACAGCCCGTGTGGGGCAGGTCCGCTGTGCTTGAGGCTGGGGCCGTCTGGGGAGCAGCAGGACAGGGTGGGTGCCTGGGCCCCTGATGGCTCAGGACCGCAATGGCAGATTTTCCTCTCCAGATCTCGCTGAGAAACGAGCACTAGTCTTTGCAAAGGCACCAAGCCCCGGTGTAGTCCTTCCTTGCTTTTACGCTGTGGAGTCGAGAGGGATGGGGGACGTTTTCCTGTGCTCTGCTTCAAACCGCCGCCCTTCTGAGCTGCTATTGCCTTTCTGACAGCCCTCGCGGGCGCTCGTGACGTGGTTTCTTTTCCGTTGTAGGTAGTACCGAGCCTGAGTGCGGGGAGGGAGCCCGTAAGCTCTGGGACAACAAACAGAATATGAGTGAGAACAGCCACTTCCCACAACCTGCTGCAGGTCGCTGCGAGCTGCCTTCCGCGGGCTCGCAGCCGGCCG